AATAACCGATGATTTTAAACCCGCAGCCTTTGCCACACTGACCCATTGATTGTTTAGCTTTCGGTGTTGACTTTTATATTGCTTTTCAGAGGATGGGCGATAGAGAGTAGCATCGCTAAGATGTTCCTCTGTTATCTCAACATCCAGCCTCCGAGGGATAACTACGAACTCTCCTCCCTTATCACTAACAGACAATCATATTATTTTCGAGTTTTTTAAATCTCTAATTTTTCGCATGCCACATTTTTGTGCGGTTTTAAGGTTAGAGATAAACTTTGTCAAGTAACCGCAACTTTTTGTAAGTGTTATTGAAGCGTTTGGCCTAGTGGATTGTATATCAGTACACCCTTCCAGGCTCTGAAGAAGGCGATACTGCCGAAACGTCAGCTAGTGTTGTATTGTATTGTGTTTTTCTAAGGAGAGGTAACATCTGAAAAGCCGACCCAGTTGATAATGAGAACTGGTGGAAGGTTTTAAAGGTGTTTAGATCGCGTCCAGACCTGACGTTGTTCGATTCTTCACCGACGAAGCAAAAAGTCGAATTAGCGAAGAAGGAGCCGTTGAGAGGGCATAAGAGGGCATATTCATCCTACTTAATTTTTCATAAAGGCACGAGTAAATGGCTATTTAACAGAGCAGAGTAGAGATTGTGAATGATTTTCTTCATTCTCTTTCTGGAAGCTATAGTAGTTCTGTCTGAGGGTCGGAGTGCAATCACATCGGTATTGTAATTGGAAAGGTCGGTAAGCTTTGCAAATGCTTTTTCCAGCTCCTGTTACCTCGACCGTAATTGGTGTTCTTCATTTCATAGGATCTTTTTTTATCGTCTGCCTGCATTGTTTTGACAGGTCGGACGTGAGTTTGCAGTTTCCTGTCGCTCATGGGATTCCAAGCTGGCTTATTAGTTTGAGTATCACCTGAGGCAGACGTCTTTCGATGACATTCGAATACACACGTTACATAGCGGTGAAGTGAAGATGTCGAAAGAGCAGGTCGTTCGTCCATTTTGTTAAAAATGGTATCTTTCCAACAGCCGTCTAGTGAACTGAATAAGTCCCATTCTAAGGTGGTTTTGGGATCTGGTTTTTTGAATTTAGCGGTTTTTCTTCACCGCGAGAAACGAAATCTTTCGCGTAGGAGGCGTGGTCTGATCTCTTGGAGAATTTTGAGGCGACGGTAACACCAGTTGGGCAAAAACTTTGATCTGTTATGATGTGGTCTATATCGTCATGGTACACTGTCTTGGGAGACTCCTACGTCCAGTATTGAGAATGGGCTTTTGAGATCCCGACTTACCAACAGAGTAGTTTTGGTCGTCATAATAAGTTCATATATCCACTCATCCTGCTTGTTCTAATCTAGTCGATAGGTCTCAATGCGACTTCCTTCAGACATTCTTCTGGGTTCAATGTTAGCTTTAAAATATCCTATGATGGCCTTAAAGAATGTATGACTATTTCCGTAGAATTTTTCAAACCCATATAGAACGCTACGAATTCGTTTGCGTCATAGCTTGATGTCGGTTTGTAAACGACGCAGATTGTCAAGCCGGTATTGGCCAAGATTCGTTCAATCGTAGGCGTCCGACTCGAATTGTTCGTTGTTCGGATGAATCAATGTTCATGGCCAAACTCATGTCGACGAGAACGCCAATTCCGCCAACAGCTCCATCGCCGCTTGTTCCGAAAAACACTTCCACGGCAGTGTCACAGAGGAGGTGAAAATGCAGATGCAAGTGAGCCTGTGTTGAATGTACAGACCGTCACTTTAGCTCTTCGAGATTTAAACAGCCTGGAATAACCCTGAGATTTTGGCAGCCTCTCCGGACGCGGCCTACTCATTACCGTGTTCAGCATCTTATACCCATGCAGAGTTTGTTGAACTCGTAACGTGAGGGCTGGGTATACTCACAAGTAACCTGCCAGTCTCTCCCACTTATTCGGAAGCGGCTTTTAGCCGCCTCTCCATATACTTCCCTGTCACTGGACTGCGGGCGTTTGGGCGATTTGACTTGTAGAATACAATCCGTATAAACGAGAACACACCCACATATCCATAAAAGAATACGTGCTCGCAGACGCAAAAGGTATGTGTCAAATAGGAGCAGCAAAAATGGGCTATCCATCCTCTAGATCGATATGCCTCTCAGGGAAAAATAAAGTCACTTTTGATCCGCGACTAACCCCCTCCTCGTCACCTCGGGATGCGACGCGCTGCCTCGCGACTAGCCATCGTGGGATCCCGGTATATGAGAGGATGGAGAACAATATATAACCGGAGATGAAGATGTTGCTGACTTTGCACGAATATCCGTGAAAGGGTAAATCCACATATATATATATATATATGTATACATATATATATATATATGATCGACAGATCGATAGAACTAGCTGAGAGACAGGCAAAATGAAGGACCCGGATGGTGTGGTGGTGAAGTGCGCTGCTCCCCGGTAAGGACAACAGCACGGGTTCGTTTCCCACCGCATACACCTGGAGTCCGGAGTTTTGCAAATATCTCAGCATTATATACGAGATATATATTTATATTTATATATATATACCCAACCTTGGCGCCGCTCTTTAAATTAGAATAGATCAAGATGAAGAGCAGGTTCCTGAGAGTAGCACCAATAATTATCGTTTTACTTCTAGATATTTCACAGCTTTTTTTTCATAAACTTAGAAAAGAATGTTTCACAAACAACTTTTTACGACAGATCAAAACGAAGAACGAAAATGTTGGCGGAAAGTGCATGTCTAGGTGCATCAGAATCGACTGCAGACAAAGACGTAACAAGCAACAAGTCAGTCTATTCGAAACTTCATAGGCAAGAAGATATGCCATATAAACTCCGAAATTTTAGGCCAGATACGGTAAATGTTGGTGTAGCTACCGATGAATTTCAACGGGTAGAAGCTTACCAACATGACGTAGGAGATTCTGCTAAAGGAACTCATGGACAAGCCAGTGCTGAAAAACATCTGGGCCAAGTCAGAAAGGTGTCCTTCACAGGCGAAGAGCGCATTTCAAATTCTAATGAAGTTCGCACTCCTCAACCTCACGAAACAGGCTTCTATGAGATTGAAATCAGCAAAAGAAGCATGGCAGATTCCACCGACATATCTACAAGCGACTCTCGATCCAGAGTAAATGAGGAATCCCCATCATCAAAAAGAAAAAAAGGGTCCAAAGCCAAATCTCAGCCACGTAGACGGTCCAGCTACAGACGTCGTCGGAGTAAAAGCTATCGTTCTAAAAACCGTAGAGCTGCTCCTAGAAGAAAGCGTAAATCTTCACGAAAATCGCGAACACGCAAGCAGAAGGGTCGGAACCTAAAACCTTTAAGAAGGTAAGCGTACTTAAAGCCGAGACTGCACCGGATAGTTGTATGAAATTAACCAAACGAAACAATACAGTCTGCTTTTTCTAGACTTTAAAGGGAGTTATTTTTTTGATTTATGCTTAACTAATATTTCACTTTCCTCCTAACTGTTTACCACCTCGTCGTGGCTGTGAGGTGTTCCTGGGTGCCGAACTGCGGTGTAGAGCGGTGGATTCTTTCCCTGGCAGGGTCTCCCAAGCTGAGAAGGAGTTCGGCGTTTCCATCAGGAAGTCTAGCTAAGAGTAAACCAATACCAGGATCAACCACCGCCTTGGTGGTACCAAGTCTCATGGTGGCATCCATAAGGGTTGCGACTGCCTGTGGTGGTGAAGACCTGAGGCAAACTTTAGCCAGGCTGACCTCTGGTTTCCAGAGAATACCGTTTTCATAGTAGTCACCCCTTACATAAACTAACAGGAACCATTGAAGTTCATTAAAAGCTTACAAGCCATCAATCAAGCAACGGAATGATAACCGAATAAAAACTTTCATTAGGGCATCGTCCTAGCTTAGTAACTTAAGAAAATATTGATTATTGATCCCAAAAGTCAAATGAGCGTCGACTTCCATGATGTGCTCAGTAGACCTGGTAGATTTCGGTGATATTTCGCTAGTCTATTTATTTATCTGTTCTTAGATTGGTGCCACCATTACGATTAATGAATCCATAAACATTAATATAAAATCCGATTTTCGGACTCTTGATGGTTTTCCCATTGATATTGCTCGCGTTAAATATTCTCGCAATGACGCCAAATTTTCAGCCTTTATGGACTTTTGAAAAGGTCGGTTTTTTGAAAAGAAAAAGTAATCAGAAGTTTAGCTTACTATTTACTGCATACTTTCTTTTTAATTTCTGATGGCACTGACCGATAGAACTACCTGAGAGACAGTTGAAACGAAGGACCCGCATGGTGTGGTTGTAAACACCTTAGCCCTTGCAAAGAGTAAAAGCGCGTTCGTTAGCCGATGCAGACACATGATGTCCGGAGTTTTGAAAATTTCTCAGCATCATTAAAGAAAAAATAACTCTTCGAAAACTAGAGAACTTTACGAGCGTTGAAGATTGTAGGAAAGACGTTGCGCTATAGTTGCATGGGTATGAATGACGTTTATGGTGCTATTTACTCTATGTTGCTATCGTCCATAGTACAAACACATCGCTGTCAGAATTTGGAGATGTTTCGCAACCTATGAGTCTCTATTTCAGTATTTTTTATGCTTGCGCACGATAACTATCATTCATTACAACAATTAAAATTGAAGCAGTACCCAATTAGCACCCAAATGTCTGGTTAGTGAAGCCGTTGAGAACCCGGTTTTTTCCATATTTCCATGTGCAAAACAGCGCTTTCCCCGGGTAAATCCCACCACATCTGTGCTCTCTATGTTATCCGCTGATAACAAAGTTTTGGAAAACAGTTCTATGTGCTAAAATACTACTCGCAAACCTTTGTGACGGCTATAAGTGTCACTCGATGCGAGAATAGTAATGCATTCGCGAACAACACGACTCAGTACTTAAGCATTTTTGAAGGGAACGAAATCACGGTCACCAAAAAAACGTTTTATTGCCTATTTTAAATATTTACAAACTATCCCTAAAGCCTTTGACTAGTGTATATCGAAAGTAAGCGTAATCCTAATGATTGGTTGGTTCAGCACTTCGCGAAAGTCTAGCAGTAGAAGACGTGAGATACCTATTATACGAAAAGGTGAAGCGTCACAGGTAAGCAATTGATGAACTCCATATTGAAATCCAAATCACATGGAAAAGTAGTATTTGAGCACCTGCACACGTGAATAATTGAATTCTTCAGCTTTACGGCTCACAAAGAACATTACGAGCCTCTGCACAACTTTTGTTTGACCAATAACTTGTTTCTTAGAAAAAGTTATCTGTTCTCGGTAAATAAAAGGTATAGTATATGCAGTGAAATAAAGTGAAGTCTGTTCCGAAATTCTATGAAGCTCCCTATCACTCACTAAATCACTCTACTAATCGAGAAATCACCGTCAATTGTTGAAAACCAGCTTCTCGTTGCTAAAAGGTTAAAATGGTTTAATCCACGAAAAGTCCAAAAATCGGTCAAAAATCTTCATTACGTGTTCCTCAATACAAATAAAGGATAAAAGAATAAACCTCTCGCCGATGATCAATCCCTAAGGGACGTGCCATGCATTCGACTTCATCAAGCATCGTTTCGAGGTGATTGAACGCGTATCCGGCCATTACAACGAATCACGGTGGCCTACCGATGTATCGAGCCAGTGACGTTAACCTCCCAGACAAGTCTGGCACCAGTTTTTCGACTCCGAAGAGATGGAAGGTTTGGTGGGCCACGAGCGCAGAGACCGATTCCACTTGTGTGTTGAAGGGCGCCTCCGACCACTGCGCAGCACGCCTTCCACCTCAATATAAATACGGGCTCGATATCTTGTCAATCGTTTACTAGTGTACGAAATAATTTGCAACTGTCTTTTCAGACACCGTACTACACACCAAGGAGTGCTTGCGATGCCGCAGTACCAGTAAGTCCATGTATTCGGAGCTATCATCTGCTAACACTTCGTATTCTTGTGTAGGAAAAGTGTGGTACCATGTAAAACGCCCACTGTGCTACCGTTAGGAAATCTCCTTAAAAAACCTACGCATATCTGTTCGGATATTTTTTAGTTTCAGGAAGAAGAATACACCCCTACGATGGAGTCGATGGGTGTGGTGCGTCTTTTCTAAATTTAGAATTGCCTGTACTTTCATAATAACACCTCCTACAAAAGAACAAGAATTGTTTGTAAAATTGAGTCAATCTAAGTTGACAATACTATAACATTTCTAAGGCTTGGCAAAAAACTATGCATATGCAATTTTTTCCCTCAACACTGATTGAAATGGCGTTCTAGAAAAGTTGTAACTGTGACGAATGTCTTCGCTATGAGGAACGTGCTCAAGCACAGTTCAAGAAAAGACCGTCTCAAAGATTTCGTGAGTTCCACGCAGCTAGAAATGGCCTCTGAGAAGTTCATGTGATAGAGGTTCTTATCGTGAGATACTTAAAATTCACAGCGAGTAGTCAGTGAAAATTATCTGCGAAAAGTCTGTGTAATACAAAATTCATTACATATGAAACAAACTTTTCAGCGCTTACAATTCGCCAAACGTCTCGTTCAAGGCAGGATCAACAGTCGCCCATGAGTAAATGTCCTTACAGGTCAACTTCAAAACCCAGAAACGGCAAGTTATAGTTCAAATATTTGCTTTTAGTGTCTTCTTATCTTCGAATGTATGAACTGCGGGCAAAATTTTCTTATAGATGTCATGCAATGACTCGACTCCTTAGCAAAACCGTACAACCACGTCACTTTTTTACGTCGAATACCAGACCAACCAGTTTACTAGTAAAGGGAGCTTGATCCTATAATTCAGGCATTCACACTACGCCCAGAAGAGAATCACGAAAGCTGACAAACAGGTCAACGTTGCAAAACGCCACTCCATCGGGATCGCTGCACACCGATTTCAACATCGCGCTCCCATCAGCCGGTCAACCCAGTGAGCAATACCTACAGTCAGGCACTGCTCCGAAACCGATAGCTGACGGAAAATCCTTGACCGCTCAGTCGTTAACTACGAAGAATCTCACTACGTCCACAGATTATAATCCTGAACGTGACTACAATCCGGTAATTATCTTATATTCTTTACTTTAGTTTATGAATATATTATAATTCCATTCAAATACGAAAACAGCTATTTTTAGCGACTCTTAGGATGAAAAAAGGTATCAGCCAATAAATGAATATGCCAGGAAATTTGTTGGTCTCAACTTCAGCTTGCTTTCTAGCACACGCTCGATTTCTGTTCGGATCGTTTAAACAGCAAATCTCTTTCCTAGTATTGTTATCAGGAGCAAGAGCGATGCATCTATTTTGTTTATTTCAAAGCAATAAAACAGCAACATAGGCGGCTACCTAACCAATTATATTCTATTTCTTTTCAAATACATGCGGAAACTCATCGTTGTTGGGAGGTTGTTTTTGGGTGTCGGACAACGATGTACACCGGGGAAATTCATCGCTCCGGAAAGGCCTCCCTTGCTGAGAAGAAGTCCGACGTTTCCATCATAAAGCTTAGCTAAAAGTAAACCAATACCAGTAACCACCACCGACCTGATATCAAACTAGTCGCATAGTGGCAAATTTCCCTCTGATCCACAAGGGCGGCGACTGTCTGTGGTGGTGACGACCTGGAGCACACTGTGGCCTGGCCGAGCTCGGGACTCCGGGAAACCACAATGGCTAAAGCAACAAAACTCCAAAGCAATGGAAATTATGTTGGTACCCGCACAACTAGTGAGGAGTGGCTGTCCAAGTATCCAAGTCAGTAAGTAAGTACATGCAGAAAATCATCGAAATTGTTCGAACTCCTTTGAACAGATACATGTCTCTCTTTTGCAGGTTTGTGACTGTACAAACTGCCAAATTCATCGGTCTATTAGAGAGGCAGATGTGAGTTCTTCAGAAACATTGAAAGATGACTTCAACAAACAGCCAACTTCGAAGTATGACGGTGAACTATCTAAAAGCCAGCCATCACGGCAGAAACACAAGATTGATGGAAAGTTGTGAACTCAAAATAATTGCTCAAATATAAACAAAAAAGAAAGAGTGCACTCAGTGTTGGCTTGGATAAATACATTTATACATTGTAAAATCTACGAATGGCTATACGAACTTATTCTAGGATCTTTGCGACTGCTATGACTGCATCAACGCAATGCGTGCCACAGGGAGCGATAACAAAACTAGACGAAAACAATATAAGCTTAAAGATCCACCCACTGAAGGGCATAAACCGAAACCGCCACGACAGCGTGGTAAAACGACTTATCCATGGATTAAACAACTGACCAAGTTGCAACAACCCGATAAACCTTACAATAGCTTCAAACAAAAGTCAGTGCAGAAGGACTTCTTAGAGGTAAAACAACAACGATTATCATCTGGAAAGAATCGGTCAGTACCAGAAAATAACGCATCCGCTATCAATAGAGTGCCGAGGAACGCCCGAAGGAGTAAAAGCCATGGCTCGATTGCCTCGTTGGCAAGAAATCAAGACGAAGAACCATCAACTAAACAAATATCTAAAGAACCGCCAAGTCCACATTCATCACAGGTTGGCCAGAGCAGTGGTTCGGCATACAAGACTACTGAAAGTTCAGAAACGCGAAGCTATAGCTCAACTGATAGACGTGGGGCTACGTCATCCACCACTGGCACCATGACATCTACCGATGGGCCAACAACGCTAACAAGTTCCGTCTCCACTGGGACCACTTATCAGAGCACTGAGGAAACTGAGGCATCCGTATCGTTGAGCGAGGATTACGCATACAGAAAGGGTCTAACGGCAGATGATAAAAGGTAGGAAAGAAATATTATTGATTCCCGAAATTTCACGTTTCCAATCATCTAAACTCATATGATTTGTATTTTAGGAGGTTTAATAAATGAAAGCCATGGGTACCGTAGTTGCCAACAGTGCTGACAACGAAAAGAGAGCTGAAATACTGCTTCAGTTGTAACATAACCGATGATAAATCATTGAAGGTCAAAAATACAAAACAAGTGCGTGCTCATCAAATGACTAAAGATCGGGTGAGAAAACGGCATCATAATGAATGCTCAAAAAAACTTTTTTTAAATTACGTTAGTATACAGTGAAGTCCGACCATTATCTACATTTCAGCTTACATAAGTCACATGCTAGGCAATATTTTTATAAGGTAGACCAGGACAAATAACCACCGAAAATGTGATGTCGAAAGATGTACAACTCACGAAACTCGCACCATTTCATAATTGTTCCTACGAGCTAAGAAGATTTTAGTGAAACATTGTTAGATGTTCATCTCGTGACGGTGAATTTTACCATTAACTCATTGAGAACCATGAAAGACATGAAACCACAAATAAAAATGAAATATAACAATATCAACTGCTTGAAGGTGTTTTTGAAGTAATGGCATTTTTGGCAAGTTTGTGGAGGGCGTACGCGTGATGTAACTTCAACTGAGTCACCGTAGGGCTATCCATTGAGTTGTGTCGTGGCATTTTCATCATCCGCGTTCTCTTAAAAAAAATCATTTCTCTAAAATCGTACAGAATTTAAAAAAAAAGTGGCTCTGAGAAAGACAAAGCAAAGGCGTCGGTGGTGAAGTGGATAACAGGTGAGTTCCCGAAAAGAATAATCGCGGACTCGAAATTCACCTGGCGTTCCGACATTGTACAGCCTTCATTGGAATTTCAGTCTGCATGACATCAGATCGACATCTATGCATTCGTTCAATTTATGAAAAATTAAAACAGCTTCTAGGAAGGATTTCTTTCCTTTCTTTGCCAAACCGACTGCTCGTAGACTCGTTACATCTGATGCGTAATGCCTAGCATTTAAGATGATGCTCTACTTCCCCAAAAGTATAACAAGGTGAGGGCTTGTAAAAGCAAAACAGACAAACATTGAATCCGAGTAACCATCCACTACGAATCCAAGTCTGGAAAAAGCAACAGTAAAGCAAAGCAAAAGCAAGTAAACATGCGCTTTTTAACAACCTCGCGATTGCTGAGAAAAAAAACTACGAATTTATAATCCAATGCCGAGGTTAATAGAAAGTCGATCCTGGGAAAAGCGACAGTGGACGAATAAATCGTAGTATAACGACACGGTACTTCACTGGTTTCACTTTCTGGTTTTTACGAACAAAATCACTGGTTTTTGTTCTTGGCTTCTGCGACATACCCTTCGAAATTCACCCTCGTCGTGAATAGCATGTGACGTTTTGATTACGATTAGCTTCTGTATTAGCCAAAATAGAACCTTTGTTGAACTACTCCTAACATGTACTGCTCCTCTGATGTCACAATTCTGTCATCGAGTAGCATCCTGACGCGTTCAGATATCGCAAAGTGATAGACCAATCCACTCCATATCGTCTGTCTGCTAGTCGCTATTGCTGCTCCTACGCTGTGGAGTTTTTCACAAAACTAGAAATGAAAGCTGGACGCTGTACGACAAAGATACCCTATTTACCTGATGCTGCTGTTAGAGACCACCAATGACCGCAGCAAAGACCGAAACAGCTCATCTAAAAACCTTTGTACTGCTGGTAGAACCGACACATATTTTACTAGAAAGCGCAGTTAGGCGGCAAACTAGTTGACATAGGAGTCCATACTGATAAGCTTCATTAACTGGTTTTTTTCTCCAGGAAAGAATAGGCTGAGACTCATCTAGTTATCTTTTCTCTTTTCTTGATAGCACATGGATTTAAAACTGCGCACACAGCAGGACACTGCTGTAAGGCAGTTCCACAACCTAAATACAGTAGGGAACCTCTACTATTTAAAATGTGGATGCACAGCATATTTTAATGCTTTCATTATCTAGAACTTTAAAATTAAACTTGCTAATAACAACAACCAACTGTAAGATTGTGTATTAAGAATGGCAGCACTTAAGATATTAGAGTGCCGCGCTGAAGAAAAAACTTGCTGAAGATACGCAAGCCGCGCTAAGGTGCTGTTGTCATACCAAAAGTGACTTTAAACAAAGGGCCTGCCATGGTCATAGAAATGTGGTGCCTGTGAGTTACAATGCTTTCTACCGGCATCATGAACCGAATGATTTTTGAAGTGAATCATAGATTTTGAACTTTGGTTTCTCACATTGCTAGCATGCAACTACAGCATAGGCTTATAGTAGCAGAACTATAAGAGAGGCCAACTCACGTCCACTTCAGAAGCAATACATTCGACTGAAGGAGTTTTCGTGCCTCTATTGTTCTTTCCCTGCAATAGCGATTAAAGCCACAGGTAGCAGATACAGCCACGGGGAAAAATCAAGTGTATCTACTGCTTCGGATTTCGCGGGTAATAAATTGGTAAAAAAATAAAGTCTGGAACATTCTGTGGTGGACTCAAATTCCGAAGAGCAAAAAAAATACCTGATATAAACAACACTTGTATAAATTTTTGACATCTCACCGTAGTCGAAGTCATTTCCATCCGAGCATCCACTCGGGGTAAGCTCAATAATCTCCGGAGAGTAGCATTCTTTTCAAGGGTTACATGGCTGTATGCAGGTGTCGTACTTTTTGATGGAACTATTGAAGGCGAAGAAAGTATGGCCGGGCCAGCAGGACTAGACCATGTAGTAGTTGTCTTGCTCATATTAGGAAACGAATAGGGTCTTTCTAGATTGCATGAACTTGTGACATCACAACTCAACTGTTCGTGATGTGCTTCCAGAAGCGCTTTTAGAGTGGACGTCGTCCCGGCAATTTCTCTGCATTCGTTCACCTCTGAACTCGTCGGAATCTTCTTCACTTTGGCCTTGTTCTTCAGAATAGAAGAAGTGTTAGGGGGAAGATCGTTGAGAACATGTTTCGGAGTCGATTTCAGAAGTTCACATAGCACCGGCGTCCGTACCTGTTACTAAATCAATAGTCAAAAAAAGTACAATACTACATTACTACAGCGCTATCTAGTGTAAACCCAAAATTTAGCTCATATTTGAATGAAATTATTCCTATGTAGATTACGTAGCCGTCCTGGATCATTTTTCATAACTGGTCCTACGTTTAAACTTTAGGTACGAAACTAGTTCTTGCGCAAACTGCTAATTACTGGAACATTAGAGGAGTTGAGAATGTAAGCAGCCTGTATAGCAAGCTTCACAGCTCTCATTTAGTGATAGCTATTGTTCTTTAGAACTGTTATTCGACTTCTAAAGTCGTTTAGAATTAGAATTTTTGGAAGAAATAGCAATAAAATTTATATTTATAAAATTTCAAACGAAAATCCACCAATAAAAAACATCAATAATTCCGTGACGTAACTGTGTTCTAATGCCGAAAAGCTAGTGTCTCATTAATCGTTAAATTTTCGGAGTAAGAGCATCGACGGGAAGAAAACGAATAGAATTGCGACTTTAGCGCTTCATCAATTTCAGAACATCTTCTTAACAGAATAAGAGATAAAAAAGGGTAAAGTTCTCCGCGTTAATCAATCTCTGAAAGATGCATGCATTCGACATCATTAAGCATCGTCTGGAGGTGATTGAATGCACATCTGGCCTTTACTATAACTCGCGGTGGCCTACTGATGCATCGAGCCAGTGCTGCTATCCTCCCAGACAGGTCTGGTACCAATTTGCTGACCACGTATGGATGGAAGGCTTGGTGGGCCATGAGCGTGTGGATCGATTCCACGTGTGTGTTGCAGAGCGTATCCGAACACTGCGCCACATGCACCCTAAGACGCGAATAAGAGATATCGTAATTTATTGGAGAAGTTTTGCATGTGCTCCAATACTTTTACTGCAATCAGTGGAGTTTACTTCCAACTGAGATATGCTGGCTTATGGTTAAAATTGGCCGTTATTTCCGCACTATGCGAGTGGAAATCAATTCACATCGTACCTCAAGTTCTAATATAACGCCATAAAGTAGTAAAGTACCCGAATCTAATAAAATGGTTCGAAAAAGTAGCAAAAATTTAAGCGTTTGTAATTGTGTTTGTAACGGAAGTGATGTCGTAGATAGGCAAAGAACTTAAAAATATACAAGGAGATTATTACTGAAGAATATCTAGGATACTAGTGGCTATCGTTTGAATTCTGTCCCTGGTCCTTAGCGCAAAAATTCGAAACTAACATGAACAAAGAAGAATTGCAGAGAATACCTTTTCGCTGGATTTAGTTGTTGATGTTGCTGTTGTTGACATGGCCTGAAATACCGAAAAGATAGCTCAGCAAAAGAAGTACGGAATAGAAATAAATACATTAAGAAATGATTGTAAAAGAAACAACCGGTAATAAAATAAGTTGCTTGTTTTGAAATAGGACGCTTGTGGCGGAGTGATCGAAGGCGCGGTGCAACACAGACGTCGAATTGATCCCCGCGCCCGTGGCACAACAGGCCTTCCAACCCTCCAGGGTCGGCAAATTGGTACCAGACTTGCCTGGGAAAATAGCAGCGCTGGCTCGATACATCGGTATGCCACCGTGAGTTATTGTAAAGGCCAGATATACATTCAATCACTTCCAAACGATGCTCAATGAAGTCGAATGCATGGCGCATCCATCAGGGATTGATCAACGCCGAGAGCATTATCCTTCTATTTTTTATTTTGAAATAAAGAAAGCCTGGTCAGATGTGTTAATTTTGCGGTTAGGTTAGTCCTCTGTGGAAAATACGAGAACTGTGTGAAGGAAAAAACTGCAAATAAGATAAGTCACATCGGATTTTAAAAAAATAAGAGAAATAACCACGGATTAATTACATAACGATTCAATTTAATCAGTGCCCGAATCTTCATATACATACATTTTTGTCCATATGATAACTTAAAGAATTCCGGCTCTATTAT